TGATAATTCTGATATCTGTCATCTTTGTAGGTAAGATTCCCCAGTGTGATTTTTGGGGCTCATTTTCCTTGGAATTTTATCTGTCAGGATTGTGGGTTTAAAGTACAATCCTCCACAGATGATTTACATTTGTTCCTTCTAGGTGCTTGAGATTATTACCAGGCAAGGATAACTTCACATTTTCAGGTTGGGCCTACCTACCCACCCCTAAAATCACAGAACTGATGTGAACTCTGGCTTTAAACTTACTCAATAAGTAACTTCTTATACATTCTCAGGGAAGACTTTTCTTTCCCCAATTTGTTACCCCTTGCACCCAGATACAAGGCAGAGACAGGCCCAAATCCCACTATCAAACTCTGAAGATCTGCTTATTTTCCTAGTTCATCAATTGAAGGTGTATACTGTAAGGATTCTGGACTTATGCTAAGGGGAAGAGGTCTCACATTAGACCTCACCACCAGGTATAGGCCTCTAATGTCACATGCCTATACACCCAGCACATGAAATGAAAATTTGCGCTGTGGGCTAACAGGAAGCAGTTGATAACCACTGCAACCCTAAGACAAACATCTGTGTGGTATTTTGTCATTCTGTACTTTTTTGTTTTTTTTGTGGTGGTTTTTGGCTCTGAGGAATTTCTTTACTTACCCAGCTCAATCATGCATTAGAAAAGATAAATACCCTCTGCAGCACTGTTAAGCATTTATCTGAGTCTGGTCAGACAGATGGCTCTGGCTTCTATTTCTTTAAAATAGGAGGTAAGGTTCATATGCTGAGGACCACAGTGGGGAATAAAAGGTTTTCTAAACAATGGAAAAGGCTTGAAACAGTGTGAAAATGGGAAAGTTGAAGCAGCACTAAATAATAAAGAATTAATGATACCCAGGAAACTTCATGGAATAGAAAGATATACTTGACAAGACTTTACAGCATTGTTAACTATACGGTAGTCTCACATCTGGTACATGTTAGCCATATGACCCTGGACAAATCATATCCCTTTTTTGTTTCATAGGAGTTAGATGAAGATAAATCTATAAAATGCTTTGAAAATATTAAATGCATAAAACATAAGGCATTATGATGTTTTCCGCAAAAGATGTGTATCGGAAACTCTGGTCTCAGAAAAACAGGATTAAGTTAGTGGAAAAAAATGCACTTTAGTAGATTCTGATAAAAGTTTATGATCACAGTTACAAATAAAAGTCAAATACTGAACCTGGCCGATATTTCCAGAGAATAGTACTACTCTGAGACTTAGCCTTTCTGTTTAGAATTTGTTGAAACCAAATTAGCTAAACTCTAGTGATTATATGCCATTTTTCATGTTATGAAAATACTTTTGCTTAACAAAACTCTAAAAAAGTAGTTTCACTAGTGAGATTTTACCCACGGTAATAAAAAAAAAAAAACCAACTCTTTAATCAAACCAAGATAATCTAAGAGAATCTTAGCATTAATAATATGGAATCTTTGAGACAGAAAATATAAAGATTCCTGACAGTTCATAATTCACCTCAAATAGTCATTAAAATATAATTAAATCCACACACATTTGATGACTAAACATTTTCCAGGTTTTGAAATTTTTAGATCATTCAATAATATATTTACTGTTGTTCTAGTTTCTGTAAAGTAAAAATATAAAATAACTTCTTATCCTCAATGAATTTTCATTTTAGGTAGTGAAAATTTTTTTTTTATGGGAAATCACCAAACATGACAAAACCAACATACCTGTAAGTTGACTTTCTTGTTATTTAAAGGGTCATCAATATTTGGAAGAGCTTATCCATTGGAAGGAACAATAACATCATCAATGAATATAAGCGTTAAGATTTTAAATTTAATTTTCCTAGGTGTTTAGCCATTATGACTAAGTCACTGTATTTTATCCTGACTAAGCAACTGGCATTCATAATACAAAATTGCAAGAAAAAATGTCAATATGAGCCTCAAAGATGAACTCATTGATTTTGGCTTGCATTCCAATGCTCCAAAGATAGTGTACTAACTCTCATTTTAAGTCCTTTTACATGTCCTAATGGTGGATAGCATCAGTTTTATCAGATAATCTGCTTTAGATACAGAAGAGTTTTTCCTGTGAAATTATAGGAGTGTAAACTCTTGTCTGGTTACATTCATGTTCTACTGATATTGCCAGAAAAAGTTCAATGTGGTTTTAGATTAGTATACTTTTTTTTTTTCCTTTCCTTCCAACAGTCTGTTTCCAGGAGGTTAAGTTGAAAAGCCTAATTGTTTCAGAAAGGGCCACTTCTTATCTCAATTCCATCCAAATATAGTCACAAAGAGAAAGAGTGGTTTAGGCAGTTCTATTCAAAAACATGAGTTTTGGAAGACCCACCAAAATGTGTTCAAAGTAGTAATAGTTGCTTTACCGTTTTTTGCTGATCCATAGTTTTTATACCTAAATCCTTAAAGTTAAAATATTTTTAGTTAGTGAGAAAAGTATAAAAATGCTTTAAATGGAGTCAAAAGTAAAATAGAGTTGTTTTTAATATGACAAATAGTAAACAAAAGACTTTGAGTTAAAAATAACCACGTATCAGTTTAGTATTGGCCAACAGACTTTCTCTACCACTTTGCTATAATATGAAAAACTCACTGCGAAGAAACTTCATTAATTCAGAGTGATCAATGGGAAGTACATTTCTAGTTATGTGGAACTGATATTAAAAAACTGGATTAAAATAATCTTTAAAATTCAGGTTCCTCTGGATTTTCTCTAAAAGGGAAAAATGTTTGATTAAAATGTCTCTTTTTAAATAGGATTTCCAAAATGTTGAAAATATACTTAAGTACTGTTACATGTTCTAAAATTGTTTGATTACAAAAAAAAAAAGTAGACAACTCACATTGTTATTAGGAGACACCACAAAAGAAAAAACTTTAGCTCAGTTTCTTTCCAAATTATGTTTTCTAGGTCAATAGTGTATAATTGCTGTCTCAAAAAAGTACACAACACCAATGAGATTATTGTTTACTAGGAAGATTTTTAGACTTTAAATTCTTCCTTACTAGCTTGGAATATTTATCAAATGTCTGAAAACCTGATCTAGATACTTTGTGTATTTTATGCTGTAAAACCATACATTTTAGAATTCTGAGCTTAAATATTGATGCTTTTTCTAGTGTGATAATGTTAGCTGCTTTATCTTGGAGTGAGGAGCTAGCTGGTAGAGAGTACAAGGAATCTTCTAGGGCACTAGAGATGCTTTATATTCTGGGTGGTGGTAACATGGGTGTATACATGTGTGAAATTTAACTGTACATTTAAATTATGCATTTTATGGTATATATCTCAAGTATAGAGTGCTTAGTCATTAATGAAATGCCAACTATTTTACAATGAACCGTGAATATGACTTTGTAAGTCAAAATGTATGGGGGAAAACAAGTTATCTGAATGCTCACAGCATGTGAACTGCTAGTCACTTTCAGGTAAATCAATTGTATGTGACGCTACATAAGGCTTACAGTGATGAGAAGTCACTAACAGCCTATCAGAAACTCAAATTTCTATCAAGTGTTAAAACAGCTTAAACAACTAGAAGATTAGAACATCCTCAAATAAGTGACATGATTATAGCATGATCATTTGATTAATGATTACTCATTGTTTTTATTTCTGCTTCTTGCTGTTTGGGTTTTTGTCATTACATTGCTTGGACTGCCAAAAAATTGAGATGAAAAAGAATTAAAGTTAAATTACTTTTGTTACCTAACTGTTGTTTTTCATGTGCTAAATAGCTGAAGTTATGTGCGTGATTTTAAAAGTATGTATTGTTTATTATTAAGGGAGAAAAGAGTTGATTTATGAAGGAAATGTAAACACCTAATCTGCCTCAAATGTTTTTCTTTTTTTGCTTTTGCTAGGAATTATGTTAATTCTCATCACCTCCAAAAGCCTTTGAGAGGATTAGCTGCATAGACCAATATTGTTCTATATTAGTCAGTATTAAGCATATGATGTCACCTTGTTCCTCCCCTCCTCAAGCTTTTCTTTGGAGGGAAGGGGGGAGCATTTTGGGGCAGTTCCCAAAATACTGTGGCTTAAATACCACTAGCTGACACATATGATTGACAACCTTAAACTCCCAAACCTGTTTGAAATGGGTCAAATACTCAAGCGCTGCAGAACAATGCAATTCAACCAGCAATTCCCCATAAAAGAGAAAGGGGGTGTGATTAGGTTCCAGCAATTAAGCAAGTTATTGCAAAAACAGTTTGGTGGCTTGTTTCTGCAATAGGCACAAGTTAAGGAGTATTTTCTTTCTTAATTTGCTCCAAAAAAAGCTATATTGTAAGAGGTAGGATAAATTACCAAAGCATGAAGCACCTGGAGCAAACATTAACGGCTTTATGGAGGTCCTTAGACTGACCTGCAGCATTGGTTATTGATGGTTAACCCTGATGGGAACGATCGATCAGAATTTGTGTGAGCCTTATTGAGCCACAGGAAAGGAGATGCAGGAGGGAATATAAGCTTCTAATAAAAGAAACGCAGCAACAATAGCAGAGGAACAGCTCTGCCTGGTGACGTAATGGCTGGCAGAGGTCCAGCTTCAGCAGAGCTGCTGCTACCTCAGCATCCAACCTCCCTCAACACAGTCCAGCTTCAGCGGAGGTACTGGAGCTGCTACTTCTGGCGTTGCTACTTTGTTGCTGCCACCAACCCCTTACCTTACAGGGCCAGAACACTGAACAAAAGGGGTTGTCCTGCTGTTTTTAAGTTGACAGAACACATATTCTCTTACTCACACTCTGCCAAACCCTTCAGTAATCGAATCAACCAGATGCTTAACTTTAGGGCGAAAACACTGGCGCACACTCCAGGGGTGCCTCAGTTTACCCAGGCTGGTCTCGAGTCCACCTCTCACTGTTCCCCCGCCCCCCAGCCGCCGGCCCTCGGCGGGAGTTGATGGGGCGGCTCCGCTCACCGCCTAGGCTCCCGCAAGTCGGTCCTCCCGCCTTACCTCCGCCAGGTAGAGGTTGAGGAGACAGAGCGTGGAGAACTGGAGACAGGAGGGGAAGCAGTAGAGCAGCCAGTGGGGGAAGAAGTGCAGGTGAGCGGGCGGCCGGAGCAGGGGCAGCGAACCGCTGAGCGAGAAGGCGGCGGAGAAGAGGGTGGTCCTGAGCGCTGCCCACAGGAGACAGAGGAAGAGGCAGAGGCTCTGGTAACTCAGCCGCCGCTCGCGATACAGGAGCAGCCGCCACAGCTGCAGGTAGGCAAAGGCGAAGAGCGCGGCGTAGAGCAGGGCGTGCAGGACGCTCAGCGCCAGCTGCACGGAGCCCGGC